GGTGTGCACCTGCAATTCCAGCTACTTGGGAGGCTGAAGTGGGAGCATCACTTGAGCTCAGGAGTTCGAATCCAGCCTGGGCAACATAGTAGATCCTATCTCTTTAAAAAAAAAAAAAAAGGGAGGGTGGGTGGGTAGGGATGTGGGGTTTAGGGAGGTCTCTCTGATGACAGGTTGGCCAGGCCCTGGGCTGATGAGGAGGAGTTGGTTAGGACTGGAGAGGTGGAAGGGTGCAGAGAAGTAAGACCCTTGTTTCAGGGCCTGGGGGCAGGGGCATGCTGAGGGGAGGGGTGAGGACAAGGATGGAGGCAAGCACTGGAGCAGGGCTGTAGGGGTGCTCTTGTCCTGGCTGGCAGCCTCCCCAGTGCCAGTGGCCTGGTCTGATCTGCCTTGGGCCCCTCCCTGCTCCCAGCACCAGTCCTGGGGGTTGCTGACTTCACCCTACCTGGCTTTGTCCCTTCTGTGCCTGCTCCTTGGGGCACCCTCTCTAGGACTTTCCTCCTGGGCTGGAGGTCTTGCTCTCTGCCTCTCCCTGAAGCTCTGTGCCAGGCCCACCCTCCTGGTCCTAGACCTTGTGCTTAGAGGGGAGAAGCTCCAAGCCCCTCTGTGTTGTGCATAATGGTGGGAAGGGAGCACGGTGGAGTTAGAACTTGGATCAGAAAAGCTGTTGGAGCCTGCCTGCCTGCCTTCCTTCCTTCCTCTTTTTTTTTTTTTTTTTTTTTTGTGACGGAGTCTCACTCTGTCGCCCAGGCTGGAGTGCAGTGGCACAATCTCTGCTCACTACAACCTCTACCTCCCAGGTTCAAGTGATTCTCCTGCCTCAGGCTTCACGGTAGCTGGGATTACAGGCATCCGCCACCACATCAGCTAATTTTTGGATTTTTAGTAGAGACGGGGTTTCGCCATGTTGGCCAGGCTGGTCACGAACCCCTGACCTCAAGTGATCCACCTGCCTCGGCCTCCCAAAGTGCTGGGATTACAGGCATGAGCTACCGCAGCCAGCCGCTGGAGCTTTCTGATGTGTGCTGGCCAGGTGTCCCTGAAGTGGCGCACACAGCCTGCCTACTCACAGGTTACATATCCATGCATTCATGTGAACATTCCATAGTATACTGGGACATCTCTGGGGCCCCAGGCTGGGAGTCCAACCCTCTTTGGAAGTGATGCCCAGGCTGGGGCCTGTGGGGAAGGCTGAGGCCAGAGTTGTGCCCTCTGAATATCTGCAATTTGTTCTTGTCTTGGTGCCAACCCCTGACCACTGCCCTGGCATGGCTTCATGCCTGGATGCCCAGCACAGAGCCTGGGGCTAAGGGTCCCTGATGATGACCACAGACCCTACCTCCCATTGGGGAAGACCCTGTTCCTCCCTTGAGTCAAGTCACCTCCTTCCCCTGCCCCCAGCTGAGAACAGGCCCAAGTGAAGCCAGGGGTGGCCCAGCTTTAGTTGACCACGGTCTAATAATGGTGAGTCGTATTGTTACAGCACTTCACAGGATATGAAGCACTTTCCTCCTGGGACCTCACTGGACTCTCGCTAGCCCTAGGAGGTCTAAGATGGCCCTGTTAAGATAAGGAAATGGGGGCACAGCAAGGCTGGGATGGTGCCCAGGGCCGATGGCTGGTGAGTTACAGGATGGCGAGCAGGACCCAGATTTAGGGGCTCCAGAGTGGGTAGATGGCAGCTGGAGAGGCAAGGATGCTTCGGGCAGGGCCAGGGTGACCTTGGCTGCCCAGTGGTAGGGCCCACCCCACCACGCTGCATGGGTTACTGCCGCCCTGGGAGCCAGGGAGCTGGGGCTTGGCGAGCTCAAGGTTGAAACTACAAATCATCGTCAGGTGACTTGAGCTGCCCTCGTGGCTGAGTGCATCCCCCATGAGTGCCCAGCAGTGACTAGCTCAGTCCTCCAGGCCAAGGCCACACTGCCTTTACCAGTCACCTGTGTCCTCCTGGAGGCCACAGCTCCCAGGAGCTCGGCAAGGGTTTGTTGACTGAACAGCAATCTTTCTGACTCTCAGAGCCCACTGTCCCCTTCCTGGAATGACACTCCCTTGTGGTGCCCTACTCCTTCCAAGATAAAATCCAGGCTCTCCAGGTTTGTCTGAGACCCTGCACACCCTGGCTGACACCAGCCACCTCATCTTCCACTATGGTCCCCCGGCTTCTGTCCCCCACTGTAACCAAGAATTCTTGAGTCTCAAAGCCAAGGCTGTTTCATGTCACAGCACCTGTGAGCTTCTGCTGTCTGCATGAACATCCCTCCTGACCCTCCAAGACCCAGGTCAAGAGGCACCTCCCTGGGGAAGCTGATGTCAAAATCGACTTGGCCCTGTGTCTTGGGGTCACGAGGTAATGCCTACTTCAGCAAGATCTTGCTAAGCCGTAACTGTCTAGGTACTCAGCCCCCATGCTGGAGTTCCAGCTTTGCCAGGGCAAGATCCAGCAGGGCCTGATTCACTTCTGGTCCCTGGTGCCCTAAACAGCGCCTGGCACACAGTGGACTTCCAGCCACATCCCCTGAACTGTGCACAGCCACCAGGCATGGCTGAGCAAGTTACTCCATCAGCTTTGTGGAATATCGTGCAGCTGTTAAAACCACAATTATGAAGATGATTTTTGTTTGTTTTTTAGGGACAAGGTTGCCCAGGCTGGAGTGCAGTGGCACAATCATAGCTCACTGCAGCCTCGACTTCCTGGGCTCAAGTGATCCTCTCACCTCAGCCTCCTGAGTAGCTGGGGTGACAGGTGCCTAATTTTTTAAAAATTATTTTTTGCCAGGTGCGGTGGCTCATGTCTGTAATCCCAGCACTTTGGGAGGCCGAGGTGGGCAGATCACCTGAGGTCAGGAGCTTGAGACCAGCCTGGCCAACATGGTGAAACCTCATCTCTGCTAAAAATACAAAAATTAGCCAGGCTTAGTGGCACATTCCTGTAGTTCCAGCTACTCGGGAGGCTGAGACAGGAGAATTGCTTGAACCTGGGAGGCCGAGGTTGCCGTGAGCCAAGATTGTGCCATTGCACTCCAGCCTGGGCGACAAGAGTGAAACGCCATCTCAAAAATATATATATATATTTTGTATTTTTTTGTATATTATTTTTGGGTCTCAAACTCCTGGCCTCAAGCAATCATCCCACCATAGCCCCCCCAAAGCTCTGGGATTACAGGTGCGAGCCACCATGGCTGGCTCACCGATAACATTTTGATATCTAAGTGCAACATGTCAAACAGAGCTACAGTCATACAATCCACTCCACTTCGAGGCATTGAGTGTCTGCGCTCTGTGCCAGCTCTGTGGCTTGGCGTGGGGGTGGCAGGGATAGAAAGGGGTCTCTCCTTCAAGACATTTGGTTCAAAAGAGGAGGAAGCCTCGAACATAATTCCTGAGCCACACGCCAAGTGCCGTGACGGAGAAATGACGGAGCCCCAGGGCCACACGTCCATCTGGGGGTCTGGGGAGGCAGAACGGAAACCACAGCTCTGTAAAAATTACAGCCGTCTCTGCATGGACAAGCCTGGAAGGGAGCAGAGGAACGGAAGCTGTTGACGCCACAGGGCGGTGGCATTGTGGGTGATTTTTCTTTCTTTTATTGTTGGTATAATGCTGTTTGGGCAATAAATAAAAATTGGGAGGAAAAAATAGCTGTTTGGTGAATTGAGTAGAAATCGGGAGAAGGAAGAAAGGGAGTTAAGGGGAAGGAAATCTGGAAGGGTGAAGTGAGGGAGAGGTAGGAAGGGCAAAGACAGGCGCGTGCAGAGGCGGTGGCCTCAGGCCAGGCCCTAGTCTGTCCCTGGGCTGGGCACAAGAGGGCTGGGTTTGCACAGGGAAAGGAGGGGGAGAGGTGCTCTGTGGGGAGACCGTCCCCAGGGGGATCTGGGGGGGCATCCCAGGGGGGAGGTAGCCTCCAGGCCTCGATGGACAGCAAAGAGCAGGGCCGGCAGAGGGGGTCCTAGCCAGACTGCAGGCGGTCTGAGGGTAGATCAGAAGCATTGGGACCCTGGTGGGGGCTCTGGGTAGGCTTGGGACTCAGAGCAGCCACTGACAAGGTGATGAGGTCTGACCAGGTCAGGCCAGGCTGGGTATATGGGAGAGTCCCTTACTTAGTGTCCCAGCGAATGCCAAAAGCACTGGGACTTTCAGGCTAAGAGGAGGCTATTTGGTCTAAACACTCCCTCACCCCACCCAGATGCCACACCATAGGCATGAACATCTTCCCAGTCTCTAATGGGTGCCAGACACTGGGCCAGCCACCCTCCCATTCAAGGTCTTCTTCATCTCTCACAGTAACCTTTGGAGCTAGGTAGTAACGCTCCCATTTCACAATCCAGGACACAGACTGGGAGAGGTTTAGCAACTTGGCCAAGGTCACGGTCAGCTGGGGATGGGAGGGGGCGCTGGCATGGGACCCTGGCGCTGCCCCCTTAACAGGTGGGAGAGGTACTGCTGGGGAGCGCCTGGGTGTTTACAGCACGCGGCGGATGAGAGGGTCTGACCAGGGAAGGGGCGCCAGGCAAGGAGGAAGGGGTTACCTTGGCATGCAGAGTAGGCGGTGGGTACCTGTTTGTGAATGAATGCATGGGTGGACGGATGAATGAATGAATGAATGAATGGATGGCTGGAGGGACGGATGAATGAGTGGGTGCAGAGAGGAGGGTGTTAGGGAGGCGGCGCGTGAGCGAGAACCCCTTTCTTCCTCCGCGCTGGAGGCTGGCTTTGGGAGCCTCCCTCCCCCCACTCCCCAGAGGGGTCGGCTCCCCCACCCGCTCTCCCCCCAGACAGTTTAGCTGAGGGCGGGGGAGGGGGCACGGAGGCCGCTTCTCCCAGGCTGGGTCAGAGTCCCCGCGCGGCGGCGCAGCCTCCCGCGCCGGGTCCTGCCGGCCAGTGCGCAGCGCGGCGCCCCCGCCTCCGCCGCCTCCTCCCCGCCCGCTGCCTCCCCCTCCTCCCCCCCTCCCTCCCCGCTCCGCGCCTGCACGCACGGCCCCCGCCGCCGCCGCCGCGAGGGGAGAGGCGGCCGCACAGCCTGGTTCCCCGCGCCCTGCTCGCAGCCGCCGCTCGCCCGGGCACCGCCGCTGGCCCCCGCCCCGCCGAGCGCAGCCGCCCGGGCACACGCACCCCGCCGCTGGACGCACCCCCCGCACTCCTCCCGCGGCTCCGCCGGGCGCCCGAGCCGGGCAGATGCGCCGCCGCGCGCCCCCAGCTCCGGGCCCGCCACCGTGCTCTGCCGCGCGGCGGGGGCTCCTCTCCCGGCCCCCCCTGGGCGCCCTCCGGCTCTGGTTCCCGCCGGCTCCTTGGAATAACCCTTGAGGCTTCAGCCGTCACCGCAAAGTTTCCCGAGGAGGCCCGCCTCCCCGGCCGCTGCGCAGGTAGGGCTGGCTGCACCGGGCGGGGGTCGGGGTCCGCGCGTCCAGGACAGGACGCCGGGGCCGGCGGGGCGGGGGCCGGGGGCCCGGGGGCACTGAGGCGCCACGGGGTCAGGCAGCCTGGCTTTGCCCCAGAGCGGTGGGAGACGGGACGCCCAGCCTTTGGGATTTGGGGTGGGGGTCCCTGAGTCAAGAGCTACGCGCTGGTGGCGGTGGTGCTGGCCCCGCCGCGGGGAGGCGCGGGGTGCGCGGCCGGCGGCTCCGCTCTCCCGAGCCGAGGCTGGAAAGGGCGGGGGCTCAGCTGGAGCTCTAGTCCAAGCCCTCGCTGCGCCCTCAGGGAGGGGGCCTGACCCGTGGGGGGCGTCAGGCCGGTCATGTGGGTCCCAGCTCCCGCACTCGGGAACCGGAGAAGGGCGCGCGGCCAGGGACAGCCGGCCGGCCCGGGCGCCGCGCTCTCGTCCCCACCAGCCGCGTGAGTCACGGTTGGAGCGAGGTTTTATTTTTAAAACGACTTCAAGGGGGGCAGGAGCAGCCTCCAACTTCCCTCCCTGTGCACGCTATGGACCGTCAGCCCTGAGCCGGGCGGGGGCTGGGGCCGTGCACCTGGCGGCTGGAACGGTGAGACCACGGTGCCCGGGCGGGGGGCGGCGGGCACCCCCCATCCCCCAGCTCTCAAGACAAGGAGGCAGCCCGACTCGGCGGCGCACGCCCCTCCTCGCGGGCACTGGAGGCCCCGGGGAGGAAGGCTGGGGAGTGTTGTCGCCCAGCTGCAGGGAACCGTGGCTGATCAGAGCTCCCCGAGGAGGAGAAAGTTGTGGAGCAGGGACACCAGGGAGCTGCCACAGCCTTCCCGGTGGCGCCAGGAGGCCTTCGAGGCCCTCCAGGGTGGGCAGTTTTGAGAGAATACAGCCCAGCTGGGGTGTGTCAGGCCCCCGAGGCCCAAGCCAGAGCTCTGATGTGAATAAACACAGCCAAGGCTGGGAACGGAGGCGAGGGGTGACTGAGAACAGCCCTGCCTCACCAAAGCCCCTACGCCCTCGGGTTGGATAGAAACCAGCCCCTCCACATTCCCTTCCCCAGGTGGCTCAGGAGTTTGGAAGGAGGTTGCCTGTGTGGGGGACCCAAGACGCCACTGTGGAGGGAAGTGGCTGGGGCACCCCGTCTCTGCCCGGCGGCTGTGGGGGAGGCAGCCACACTCGGGGGCTCCAGGCTCCAGTTTCTGGAGTTGAAAGCTACTGCATCTCTTTCGCCAGCCCCGGGAGGAGAGGCGCAGACATCACCTGTCAGCTGGTGCTGTCTCCGTGGGCGACTGTTCAGGGCTTCCTCAGAAGGTTTAAAATGGAAATGGCCTGAGCTGACGGGGCCAGTGCCTGGGAGGGGACGCTGACCAGCAGGGCCAGCAGTGAGGGGACCCTGGTAGGTGTGAGGGTCAGGAAGAGCTGAGGGCTGTCACATCTGGCTGAAGGGTCGACTATGGACACAGGGTGTGTGTGTGTGTGCGCACATACATGGGCTACATGTGTGCCCCCGGTCCCATGTTCTTACCCAGACACAGAGACTGGACGCTTTTCAGTAAAAAGCACCCTGACCCCATCATGGAGGCTCCATAGCCCACACCCCGGAGGCAGCTGTGGCCTGCTGGACTTCACCTAGAGCTGGGTCTATGCGTCCGCACTACCATTTATTGATCCCTCCACCGCCCTGTGCCTCAGTTTCCCTTGTTGGTAAAATGGGGTTGATAGTGCCACCGCCTGAGCTGGGGGGCTGCTTTGTAAGTGCATTTGACAAATATTATTAGTAGTCCTGCTCCTGGACTGGAGGATTCTCAAGGGCTGAGGGTACCTACAGGGACTTTAGAGGGTGGCGGTCGGATTTTCCCGCCCCCAGTCAGTGTGCTGTCATTGGACTTCATCCTCACGCTAACCCTCAGTGGCAGCGCCCCGTGTCCCCTCCTTCCCACTTCTGAGGCCTCCCATGGAAGTCCCTGGGAGATCCGCCCAGCCTGTTTCTAAGGTGATGGGGAGGGGTGCTGCCACCCCACTGGTTACCCACTGCCAGGGCTGTACAGACTCAGCTCTGTAGAGATTGATGCCTGGTGGCTGAGCCTGTGTCGCATCCACTGGGTGACCCTGGGCCTGCAGCCTCCCCTCTCGGACGGCTTCCTTGCCTGAGCAGGGGGTTACGGCAGTTGCCCCACAGAGAGGATGTCTGGGAGTTCTGCGTGTGGGTGCAGGGAATGGTGGTGCACACATGAGCAGGTGGCGTCTGTGCTCGCTTCAAAGTTAGCTGAGAGGACTGGGGCTCCAGGTGGCCCTGACCCTGCGGGTGTTGAAGGACTGAGAGGTGGGTGTAGAGCCCAGAGGCCAGTGCAGTGACAGCTGTCAAGTGGCTGCTCTGGTGCAGGGGGAGGATGAGGCCTCTGGGGTCAGCTGGGCACAGCCACCTCTGCCCAGTCAGGGGGCTAGCAGCCCCTCCCCAGCCAGCCAGACATCCCCAGAATCAGGGCTGGACATGGCCTGATCTCAGAGATGGGGCCTGTCTGGGGCTGTGTGGGTCTGGCTGTGCTGGCCCTTCTGCTCTAGAGTCTGGAAATGATATCAACCACCTAGTCATCCCTGCTGATTGTGTTCCTGGCACACTAGAATGCCATCCCAGGGTTCTAAGGACTTTCAGTTCCTGGGGAGGGTTTCTCTACCTGGCCTGCTGACCTTCAGTGTGACCCACCTTCCTCATCTGTAGGGTGAGGTAACAGCAGTACCTACCTTGGAGAGATACCCACTTTGAGAGGATGCATATGAGGTTTCTAGCACAGAGTTCATGCCTAGCAATGTGGGGCCTCTGCCTGGTCTGCACCCCTCATTCACTGTGGGCCAAGGGCTTTCAGCTTCTTCAGGCCTTGGGGTGGCAGGGAGGACGGATGTGGCCCTCATCCCCTGCAGGCAGGGGCCATTCACTCTGGTACCCAGCCCAAGCGTCAGTGGGAAATGCCCCAGAGCAAGGGGGGGCTGGAGGGCTTTTGCTGAGGCCCCTTATAGCCTGGGGTGTGTGAGGCATATGGGCAAACGAGCATGGGTGGACAAGAAGGGGTGTGGGTGTGGTGAGGGTGCTAACTGCCTACAGTGGGGTGGGTGGTGACTGCCCCAGGGGGTAGCTTTCCGTGCTTACTGGCAGAGGAGAGCACCAGCCTCTGGGAGGCCCAGGCCCCAGGCCCTGGCTGCTGCCCCACCGAGTGTGTTTGAGGTAGGGGGGTCCTCCTCAGAACCTGTGTTGTTCTCCTGGAGACAAAGTTCAGGCTCTGGCTGGCTCACAAGGCAGCTGCATTCTGTCCTCTGCCATGGGACACTCACCCTGAGAGGGCCAGGGCTGCGGTGTGGGGCAGACTGGATGACTGGAAGGAGATGGGGAAAGGATAGCGCCCCTGTTTTGCCCTCCTCCCCCGGACAGCCTGCCTGGAGTTCTCTGGCAGCAGCTGGAGCCACAGAGAGGGTTCCGCGGAGCAGGCTGTGTTTGTGCAGGCCTGTGTTTGTCTGTTTACCATCCCTCGAGGCCCCCAGAGCACTGCCGCTCCCCCGGGCCAGCGGCTCTGCAGATGATGTCAGGGTTTGGGGGCCTCTCCTTGCTTTGTGGAGGTTGTTTGCTGGATTTCTGCAGCCCTGGGTTTTAAACTGACACCCTGCAGAGCTGGGGGCTACTGAGGGTTAGGGAGAGGGCAGGGAGGAGGATGGGTGGGAGTTTGGGGCTGAAGTCATGGAGGATAAATGGGCTGGCCCACCAGTGCTCCCCTGGCACCCCTGGCTCCCTGGCTCTTCTGTTTTCCCTTCCCTCACTCCTTCCCTCCTTTCCTGCTCATTCATTCATTCATTCATTCATTCATTTATTCTTGAGGTAATCATTGAGCATTAGTTATTGCCAGGCACAGTGCTGGGCTCTGGGACAAAGTGGGAAGCAAAAGCAGTGGGTGTCTTGCCCTCAGGGCGCTTCCAGTCAGATGTGGTGTCAGACATTAGTCAGGTCTACCTCTGCCCCATGAAGCCTTGGCTCTGAAGGTGCAAAGTGGTGAGGTCAAGTAACAGAGGGGTCTGCTGGGGGGTGGGATTGAGGGGGACTTCCCAGGGAAGGGGGTGCTTGAGTTAAGATGTGAAGAGTGAGCTGGAGCCGGGGAAGGGCAGGGACAGAAACAAGGGCCTGGAGGACAGGATGGATGGAGAGGGCTGCATGGAGACCCCTTGGCAGGAGGGCAGAGGGGCTTGAGGCACCTGGCCAGGGCGGGGGCTGGGGGGTTGTCTCCCTGGGTCTCTGAGGCCCATCCATCTCCGGCTCTCTCAGGATTCCTGGATCTGCCTCAGGGACCCTCTGCCTTTCCTTGTAGGTGGGCCTCTGGAAGAGTGGGCTTCCTAGGCCCAGGATGCCAGGTTCCCTTTTCCTGAGAGCTGTGTGTTCACCTGCGTAGACAGGTTGCCCCAGCACATCTGATGGGCTGTGAGACAAATGTGGGCGTGTTTATGATGGGGGCGGTAGCCCTGGGTGGACCGAGAGCTATTAGTGGTGAAGGAGAGTCCACAGAAACCCTCCCCAGCCCTGAATGTTCCCGGTGCAGGGAAGCGGGGCTGGGGTGCAGGCCAGAGGGAGAAGGGAGTGAAGGGGCTATGGCCTGAAGGGCCCCGGACCCGGCTGTATGGGGCTCAGCTAGCCACTAGGGGACACTGCCTCCCAGGATGCCAGGACCCAGGCATCCGACGCCCGGCTAGGCCCCAGGTGCGGCAGGCTCTGCTTCGAGGGGCATCCTCCTGGGCAGCCAGGGGTCTCTGGTCTGGCTGGCAGGGAGGCAGTGGCTGGGCTGGTTGGGGATGGCTTATACTTAATTGAAACTGGGATTAAAACTGGGGTCATGGGACGCTAGTCCTGGCCATTCCTGCCCGTGTTGCTCTCCAGAGGCAGCTCTGTGGCAGTATTTTTTTCACGCCCCTTTCCCTCCTTCTGCCTGAATTAATCGTTGGCACCAG